ATGTATATATACACATATATATATACAATCATGGACAAACAACATCTATATATATATACACATATAAATATATACAATCATAGACAAACTACATCTATATATATATATATATATATATATACAATCATGGACAAACAACATCTATATATATATACACATATATATACAATCATAGACAAACGACATCTATATCTATATATACAATCATGGACAAACAACATCTATATATATATATAATCATAGACAAACAAATATATATATATGTTGTTTGTCTATGAATATATATATATATATATATAGATGCTGTTTATCCATGATTGTATGTATATATATATATATAGGTGTTGTTTGTCTATGATTGTATATATATGTGTGTATATATATATATATAGATGTCGTTTGTCCATGATTGTATATATATATGTATATATATAGATGTTGTTTGTCCATGATTGTATATATATATGTATATATATAGATGTATACAATCATGGACAAACAACATATATATATAAAGAGAGAGAGAGAGAAGCAGGGCATCGTTTTTGTAAATAAAAAAGAACACGTTGACAACAGTTTTTAATAAAGAACAGTTTAATGAGACTTTTCACTACTTTGACACAAATTCAAACAATATTATAAGAGAATGTCTAAATTCATCCACTGGACATAATTTATGACATTTATCATATAGAACTAAATTATTCAAGGCCATTTACCAAGAAAGCACGTGTTCGTATCATCTATTAAAACTCGAGAATTTCATGTTCTGGCACCGTCTTCAGGCTTCTCGCAATCTAAAGAAATACAACAATTTAATTGTCTTACTTGATATGTCTACGTGTAATTCTTAAGATATGATAAGTTAAATAATCATTATTTAATACTATGTTACAGATGTGCTTTGTTGTGAAATATTTAAATACTATATTCGTCTTCAGTTTTATCTCAAGTCATAAAGAAAAGAGAATTGCCGTAAGAACATGTTTGTGGTGCTTTAGTCCTAGATACTAAAATAATCACTTTATCATAAATGTCAAGACTCTACAAAGTATTGCCATAAAAATATGCTGCTGGTGCTTTAGTCCTAGATACTAAAATAATCAATTTATCATAAATATCAAGACTCAACAAAGTCTTGCCATAAAAATATGTTCGTAGTGCTTTAGTCCTAGATACTAAAATAATCAGTTTATCATAAATGTCAAGACTCTACAAAGTCTTGCCATAAAAATATGCTGATGGTGCTTTAGTCCTAGGCTTTGTAGAGTCTTGACATTTCAGATAAACTGATTATTTTAGTAAAAAGGGATAATTTTTCGTATGAATCATATATATATGTGACAAAAGTTTGTGTGAGTGTGTGTGTATCCACTTATAACTGGCGAACTGCTGGAACACTTGTAACCAAACCAGGTATGTAACATAGGAGGTTGGCGTTCGGATCTGACATCCCTATCTTTCACTCTGAGGCCCCTACGTCGTCATCGTGCGTCAGCTATGATGCTTTAAGTAGTATATGAATGTACATACACACACACATATATATGACCTGAAGTTTTATGTTAACTTTAACATCCTAAAAAAATATGATCGTAGTTCATCTAATTATTCCCGCCTTCGAGGATCGTTTTTATGAGTTTAAACATGTAGACCAAAAGCAAACAGCATTGTACCTATGGAACAGTGAAATAACACTATGGTAAAAATTAGAGAAAGGAAACGATAAGAATGTGTACTAGTAGAAGGCGAATCTAAAGTACTAATAATAGGAGATTAAATGGTATTACATTATTGGACTCAGACGTGTAGATTAAGATTTTCGTTTTTTAAATTTTCCAACCCTAAAATTACCTAAATGTTGACGACATTTTTTTTTAACACAGTGTAATCTACAATATTTATACACGAAAGTTTTTGGGGGATCAAGGGCCTTATTGAGTACAGAATCACTAATAGCATACGAGGCTTCAGGAACAACCCAATCAAAATATTATCAATGTATCATTAAATACTGCTTGGGTGGTACATATATTTTACTGAGAGAAACGAGCGTTTTCATTTGCATATAATTGTATGGTCAGTTCTTTTACAGCGAGTGCTGTAGACACAAAAGTATCAAATTGCTCAATATGATGCTATGTATGAACCCTGTTTCATCAGGAACCCACCGGTAACATACTGTATAGAAACAGATCAGAAATTGAGGACTAGTTACTAATATATTTATCATAGGTTTTATTAAGCCTTTTATGAAGGTATGCGAGGACTAGTTACTAATATATTTATCATAGATTTTATTAAGCCTTCTGCCCCCCCCCCACGTGACACAACGGTATGTCTGCAAACTTACAACGCTAGAATCCGGTTTTCGATACCCGTGGTGGGCAGAGCACAGATAGCACATTGTGTAGCTTTGTGCTTAACTTAAAAAACAAACAAACAAATAATTAAGCCTATTATGGAGGTATGCGACTATTATAATGGTTGGAAAGCCAGCACTTCAAGAGATTCTGTTTATTCTTTATGCAAGTGGTCTGTTTTCAATGATTTGACTTACTTTTAATTATTTACTTTCTGTTTCATCAGGAGCAAATTTGTTACTGTAACTGGCTGCAGATTGTGAATGGTAAATCTTGGAGATTAACCAGATTTATTCTTCAATTTTAAGTTACAATTTCATCTGAAGGTCGAGGGTTCGAATCCCTCTCCCACCAAACCTGCTTGCCCTTCACGCCTTGGGGGCGTTATAATGTTTTACCACTATTCGTTGGTAAAAAGAGTAGCCCAAGAGTTGACGGTGGGTGGTGATGACTAGCTGCCCTCCCTCTAGTTTTACACTGCTAGCTTAGGGACGGCTAGTGCGGATAGCCCCCGTGTAGCTTTGCGCGAAATTCAAAACAAACAAACAAACTCTTCTATCACATTGGCCCGCTTTACTCGCAATCTGAGAGTCGCGGGTTCGAGTCTCCGTCCCACATAACATCTTCGCTCTTTCAGCCGTGGGGGCATCATAAAGTGTCGGTAAATCCCACTATCTGTTGGTAAAAGAGCAACCCA